AGTGGTATTAAAAATGGCTATCCTACAGAAATTAATTTTACATTATTAGAAAACTGAGTTACTCAAATAAAAGAAAATCTTCTTAAGGTTATTAATAGAGAAGTAAATATTTATTATTATTATCTGATCGTAGAAGTTTGTAAAGAGGTAAGAATAAGAAAAGCAAGTATGCCAATAGTACTTATGAGTCGATTTGAATTATTAAGGGTAGGTTATATATACTTCTTTATTAATTTAATAATATAATTATTAATACTTGTTATTTTATAGCCTGGATATTATGGTTTACATAGATTAAATATTATCTGTGATACACTTATCAAATTATTCTTTTACTCTAATATTTTAACATCCAATATTACTTGTTCTAAAAATCCTATAGATTATTTGCAAGAAGTTCTAGTTCCTAAGACTGCATTACATTTAATTGCTCAAGATAGAGAAGGTATATCACTTGAAGATGCATGAAAAATTATGAAGGACAGTGCCGATTTTGGAGATTATATGTATAAAGAATAATGCTTTTAAAATAAATACAGAATAAATTTTGTCAATAGTTTAGCTTTGATATTTTTTAAAGATTTTATATTAGCATTCCTTTAATCTGTTTAAATTTGAACACTACATAGCTTTTTATATTGGTAAGTATATATTTTTTTTTATTCTAATCTTTTTCTTTTTGTTCATATTGATTTAGTTAGTAAGTAAAGATTTATTAATATCTTTAATTATTTGAACTCAATGTTTAAAATTTAGATTATTACTTTTTATTTTTTTATTAATCTATTCAAAATTTTTATTTTAAATTAGCGATTTAAGAATCAAATAATTTATTCGAATTAATTTGATAGGTAAGCATAAAACTATTTACTATATTAATTCATTTGAAATTAATGATTTAAACATAAGAATTATTAATTAATACTTCGATTTGCTAGTAGATATAAAAGAATCTATATACCGTAATTTTGATGGTACTTATTTATTATCAAAGATTCACTAAGATGTAAAATGCTGATGAGATTTTGAGTTGAAAATATAAATGTAAAGCGTCTATACACTATTAAAAGTCTGCTTATAAAATATCTTCGATTAAATATTTGTGCTTAATGATTATTATTAAAGTAGAATTTAGATTAGAAATGAATATAATACCCATACTTTCATAAGGTTTTTATTGTATTTTGTAAATATAGCTTTACATCCATGTATAAAAAAACTGAAAATTTATTGATTATAAATTTTATTATAATAAAGCATATCCCAAATTATTTGAATCAATTTTAAAGCACACTTATTTGCTTACTAGATGCATTTTTCTAAAATGATATTTACATATATGACTACTACATCTTTTCTTCTGACTAATTTTTGTATCGATTCAAAGACATGACTTTTAAGACAATTTCAGTCTAACCTCGATATAACAAAACCTTGAAGCTAGGGTTTGGTTTATAGAGATTGGAATTGATGAGTTTGAGCATTGATTGGTCACAAGCTCTAGATTTTTGAGCAACCAGTAAAAAAGTTTGACCGATGTTCAAATGTTCATTGAATTTTTAAAAAATATATAAAGAATTTGGTATAACACAAAATTTATTAATTGTATCATTATCTTTACATTACTTAATTACAATTTACATGACTTATAATTTGCGACAAAAACAACTTGTACTTTATCGCTACATACAATTTACATGAAATCATTTGTTTTCATATTACGCTTTAGAAATACCATTCTGTAAAATAACTTTGAATTTAATAACATTCTTTTCGCACTCATAACATTTCCTGCATCTGACAACAAGCGCTCACTTGGTGTGCTTGTTGCAGGAATTATAAAGACCACCACACTATGAGATCTCCCTCGAAATCAAGCTCAGGAAGAGCAAGATAATTTGTAACATCGATGAAAAAACAGATTTAATGACCTTTACAGTAAGTTTAATTTTCATTTCGATTGTTACATTAAATAAATAGTACCACACCTTAAAGTTTGCATACATAGCATGTAAAGTTTCTTAAACCTGATTTCGCTCATCAGTCGATAAGACATGTAATCTTTTGCATCTTGGGTCCAATTGAGTTTTTTAACAATGTCAATTTGAAAAAATTTATGAAAATGTTATTTATTAATAAATCAAAAACTTATCACTATCAAAGCTTATAGTTATATTTTAATTGGACTGATATTTGATTATTGATGTTCGAAATTTTTGATCGATGCTCGAATAATTATTTACCGATTCCACTCTCTATTGGTTCAACATATTGAGATACTTTACTATAATGAATTCATAATTTCAGCTAGAAGAATTCTTTGCTATAGTGGCTAATTTGATCCATCGAGATTCGTTATATTGTAGTTATACTGTACTATATAAAAAAAGAAAAAAAAAGGTTTAAAATTAAACTGCTGATTTAAAAAGAAAAAGTTTGTTGGTTTGAACTTATGCTTTAGATTTGCATTCACAATAATATACAAACCAGTAAGCAGAGATAAATGTGTCTACTCAAATATGAAATTGGAACAACTTTATTAATTTGCCAGCAAAAATAATGCTTCATATTTTACTGCCTAGACTATTGCGCCAAAGATGGAGAATTCTAAACACTAAATTATTGCATAAAAGAAACTGGTATATAACAACAGTGCCGATACTATAATAAAAAAAAAATTCGCAGTATGGTAGGTTATACCAAAAAAGAATGTCAGATACGGTATGTAAAGAAGTTAATTTATTTAATATATATATTCAACCAATCATGTAAAAAAAAATCCCCGGTCTACAATAAAATTATAAACCCTGGGTCTATGTTAAGGGTCCTCTTTGGTGGGTAGTTCACGACCGTCAACTACCTCAGGATCGCCAGAAAAATTACTATGTAATTTTTACTGTCACGTGATGATCAACAAAATCAAGCCAATAATGAACCACGATTTAGTGTAACGTTACGCGATCAGAAAATTTCAAAACAAACGTTCGATTAGAAAAAATCGCTTATAACACAAAAATTCATATATGAAACCACCATCTGCGTATTAATAAAAAATTTTCCTTGACCGATTTTACTATTAAAACACCTTATTCTAACCCTAAAATAGGCTCTAACCCTAACGTAAACAAAATTAAAGAAATTAGAACTACCCTAGGATCGCCACCAAAAATTTTCACGCTCACGTGATGATCTACAGGAATTATCCAATAGGCGATAATAATTTGGTGTAACGTAACACGATCAGGAAAATTCAAAACAAACGTTCGTTTTTGAGAAAATTAGAAAAAATGCTTGTTTTCTGAAAATTAGCATAAGAAACTACCTTCTGCGCCCTAACAAAAAAATTTCCTCGAGCAATTTTCTACATTTATCACAAAATTCTAACCCTCATACTAACCCTAATCTTACATAAATAAACTTTAAAGAATTTACTGCATATCACGTGAACGTGAAAATTTTGGTGGCGATGCAGGGGAAGATAGAAAGGGAAAATATACTGACACAGCATGCACGTGACTTATCTCTTTTATCGGCACAGCAAATGATCGATATGAGTACCCCATTTCTAATATATATAGTAATAATATCGATATACGTATCAGATCTAAGCATAATAATAATAAGCAGTAGTTCAAAAAAAGAAAAACTATCATTATTATTAAACAATTAAAATGTATTTGATCAAAGTTACATTTTGGAATTGTACAAACTATGTATATCATATAGTATGAATTTACAGAATGCTATTGTTATTTTATGATTTATTTAAAAATGCAAATAATATCGTTATTGATATTTTTATAAAATAAACTACGCAAAGAGTTTTGACCAATGGTCCTCAAGGCCATATCTGTGGCAAATAGGTACATGCTGCACATTAACCATTGGCCAATTTACTTTGGCATAACTTTTCATGCTTACGTATATGATATGATTTCCATTCACAAAATGCAACATAATTGGTTTTTTTCTATGTATTGGTGCTGATTCTAATGGGAAAAACATTGTAGATAGTTCATCCGTTTTATCAAATATGGCAATAGGAATAGAAAAGGTGTCAGCGGCCAATTGAGCACAATCGGGTGATAAAAACCAAAGTGATGATGAACATGGCGATGCTCGAGACTCTAATATCTGTTTAAGTAAATTGATATTATAGCCTAGCCAATTCTTGTAAATCTCCATACGCTTATTCAGTTGACCATTCATGGCCAATTTAACCAGATTTCAATTTTCCTCATTGTCTCTAATAGCAATAGCAAGTGCCCGAAATCCACAATTACCGTCACTTTTTGGATTATAAATTTGATCCACGTCATCAGCAGGAATTCGAAAATTCAATAGCATTTCTTGTCTCTTATCTATAAATAATAATAAATTAATAATGTATATATTATAATAATGCTATATAATTAAAATAAATATTACCTTCATTATGAACCGTTGAATTGTTTTGTGAAAATGTAACATTTTTAATTTGTTCTTTTATAACAGCACCAACTTTTCTTTTTTTTTTTATTTTCATTTGTTCTACTGCAATCGGTAATCGTTTAGTTCCAGAGGGGCGTCCTTTTCCAGTAATTTGTTCTGGAATCTTGATTTCAGAAAGTTTAGTTTCGGGTACTGCTAAGACATTATCAAGTTTTTGCAGCAGAATTGATCTTTGTTGTTCATCCGGAAAATTCATATATTGCGTCTCAATTTTATATAATCGAGACTTAAGTAAAGAATTATCAAGATCAATCAGAGATAAGTCTTTCATTAAATAATTAGAATTGATTTGATTTTGTCCAGAAGATAATAGCCATCTTTTTGAAATTACTGATAACTCAACAGGACCTTTTAGTGGAAGCATATGTTGGCAAGGTATATTATAATTGACACGCAATTCACATAAACAGGCCTTATACATAGTTACACTAAGTAGCTCACTCTTAATTTTATTTAAAGCGAATTGCGATACCTTTCCTAATAATGGTTTTAACCGATTCTTATCATCCCACGTTAGCAGAGGATCAATATTCATACTTTCGTTCTCATATTGTAGCAAAAGTTCTTCATAATGCAAACGTAGCCATCTATCTAATGAATTAAAGGACTTGTTAAACTTCCTGAACTCTCAATAGCGCGTTTCATAGCTGAATGTGCACCTTCGACACGTTGCGTCGTTGTAGCACCAAAATGCATTTTTCGGCTAGTGTAAACTCCAACCCACTTTTCTTTAACTTTCATCATCCTTTAAAATTTAAATATTTAATTAATGATATGTATAAAATATAGTATAAATTTGCTTGATAATGATTTGAAGAATTAATTTAATACTTTCCTATCAAGATACTTTATTACTTCACTTTCATTAAAACTTGATGCAGCCAGTTTTTTGTATGAAGCGATTGCCAAATTTAACATCTCATAATCTCTCAAATGGATAATGCGATCTACAATTTTAATTATTTCATCGAAAGAATCATCAACAAAGTGCTTTCTCAAATTTTTTTTGAAGTTATTCAAAACATGCCAGATGCATAAGAGATGTTCAGACTGTGGAAAAATTTTTTTAAAAGCTCCAATGAGCGCAGCATCGTTATCCGTAACGAATACAAGAGGAAAAATATCAAAAAAGACAATAGATGCAAGTTGTTCAACCACCCAAACATAAGACTTTTCAGATTCATCAGAGATCCAGGCACCAGCGATTCCAAAAGTTTGTAATCGATTAACCCCAAGATTACTAATGCCAACAAAATTTACAAATGGCAGTTTGTAAACATTCGTCTTGTAGGTTGCATCGATTATAATAATTTCTGAAAAGCGTCTTGCAGTTTTAACTGAATTGTCGTGACAGAAAAAGAGATGTTTGATACGCCCATCTATATTAATTCAATATAATATAAAAATTTCTGAAATAATTTTAATAAAATAAAATAATATATAAAAATATTTACCTTTATGAGTTTCACGACGAACTGTATATCCTCTTTTTTCCATGTTCATTATTAGCGCCTCCATCGAAGAATTTTCTTCAGAAATATAAATTCGTGAACTCAGATTTAATATATCTCTCCTTGTAGCAGTCGGTTCTCCATTCTCATCTCTGATAGCTTCATAAATTGTACTGGGTTTTGCACCGGCTTTTAGCATTTGCACAGCTGTATGCTTTGCTTCTTGTGTTAATTGCCGATGTTCATGAAAAACCCTTGCATTTTTAGCTTTAGGATGGTTATGTTTACTTATTACTTCAACTATCTTCCATTTAGAATCTCTTGGAACGGCCTTTACTAAAAATGGGCACCTACAATGCTTGCTCATCCTTTTTTTTTGACGAGTTTCTGCTGTTAAATTCGAAGTATTCCGGGGTTGACCACCACGTTTACACTGAAGATGGAAGTGTCGATGACCACTACTTTTAACAGTTACAGCAAACCCTGAAAGCTGGGCTATTTCCTGGACACAATTTAGAATATCTTTCTTGGTAGTGTAAATTTGTCCAAGCATTTCACAAGCTAATATAGAAAAGCGTTAATAAATAATTAATATAAATCATGACTATACATTTTACAATTTTACTTTGTGTTTCAAATAATTCTTCATTCTCTTTATTTGATACGATCTTATCCTCATCATTAGATTCGGCTCCATCTTCTTCAGTGGATTCAATTTCGTCTTCCTCATTAAATTCGGTTTGGTTATCTTCATAATATCCGAAGTCATTTAAATTTTCGTGATCGTTCATTTGTGGTAAGAAGCAAACGTCTAGCACTACAGTACTATATTCTAGGTAATATTAATCTCTTGGGATACGTACAGTACAATAAGTTTTTCGTTTTGCAAATTTATTTATTTTTGTTTTTATTTAAAATTTTTATTGCATGTGCAGTATTGGAATTATTAACAAATTTTCGATTACGTTATTTATTTATCGATCTTACGCATTATTTATTCGCTTATTTTATTCTCCGACTACTGTATTTAATTTCCGAGGAACAATGGTAACGATCCTTAACGTGATCACATGTACGCATATTACTATAAATTATATTTTATTGGTTATAAAAAAATGGGGTACTCATGTCGATCATTTGCTGTGCCGATAAAAGAACTTCCCCAGGATCGCCACCAAATTACTAATAAAATTTTTTCGATCACGTGAAATTATCCAATAATAAATCACG